TATATCCTCCCCCAAATATCTTCTCTAGAAGATGGCATGGATACATTCAGATGTCTTCTATGGTCACTACTGCATCATCTAGCTAGTTGTCACTTAATTTTACTACCATTTTCAGATATTCATGTGAACCAACCAAATAGTGTAAATAGTTTGAACCTCTCTAGTTCAGAACTCCCTGGTCTGGAAACATCTCTGGTCTGGCATGATTTTAGTTAGCCGAATGTCCACTTTTCATGAGTATGGCCAAGTTTCCCGCGGTCCCATAAAGTTTGTTTACAGCCACCAATCCAACTCTCTGTTCTGTGCTGTTATTTAGCTCTAATTTACTCCTAAATGTCCTCTAACAGCCCCATAAGCAGTAGAAGTGCTGGTAATGCTGCTAGACCTCCCATGGTCCAGAAAATTCTTTTGTTCAGATCTAGTCAGGTTCCGAGGGTACAGGACTAGAAAGATTCAGTCTGTACCTGTGTCTTTCAGACGTGATTTAACAGGCAAAGGCAATAAAGATGCACCATTTCATTAAGGCCTGTTCTACTCCCCTCGTGGTCAGCAAAAATGTTAACTAAACACTTAAATGTATTGTTTCAAATATGTATTTGAATTGATTTAGTTTTCTTAAAGTAAAGTAGGACTGTCCAAATCATCTCTTTTGAATCTAAGCCTTTGTTCCCATTTTAAAAGCTGAAATGTGATGGTAACCCCCTACCCAGCTATTTCAGGATTCAGACTCTGAGCTAAAAGTCATTTGTTTGCCTTTTAGGGGAAACCTCCCAGCAACTGCCTATAGAGTCTGGTTGCAAGTAAAATCCATATGTAGTGCTTCTGTCAGCAAAGACTTGCTAAGAGAGAGTTTATAATAAATATTTGCATCTGGTGCTTTGGACACTCTAATCTATCCTACTGATCTTTGCTGTGTCAGGCTTTGTTTTAGGTGAAGAAGCCCAGTAGTTATAAAGGTTTGCAAATGGGGCATATTTATCATGGTTAGCTCTACTTTCATACTTCCACCTACTGTACAAATAGCCATGACCACTCCCGGCATAACCAGTAATGAGATGGTCTCCATGCATTTTTAAGATGATATTGCCAAAACAATTTTGCGAACAGGAGACATTATTGTCTGAAGGGGCAGATAATCTATTTCCAGGATAAAAGTTACATCAGATTCTGCCTTGTAGCTTCAGTGTCCTTAAAATCACATTTTGGGGGGCCAGATTCTTCCCCACACACTTGCATGTGGTCATAAGTCCTGATCAAGCTATTCATAGAGTAAGGTTGCCAACATGTGGCCCTGTTTAAACTACTCTTGCTCACCCAACGATTGCTTCAATACCACATTGACTTTGTCAGCACTAATTCAACTTCTGTGGGTGATTTGTCTTTGCTTTGAGAGGGGGGAAAAAGTACTGTTTGATACATAAAAAGGGCTTTAATCATTGAGGGAATATTGAACCTGTGTCTAATAGCTAACAGTGTTTGACCAGAATCATGACTTGAAATACAATGATGGCTTTGTTGAGCAGCCCATCTGTGCCTTGGAAAGAATGTATTGATCTCTTGTTGGATATAGTTATTGCTGTGTGTCTATGCACATATGTCAAGATCCTGATTATAATTTTGAAGCAGAGAGATTCCCTCATCTGAGAAAATGAAGGGGGAGTCAAATGTACAGGTTGAACCTCTCTAGTCCAGAACTCACTGATTCAGAAACATCCGTCATCTGTAAATATTGTCCAGAATCATTACCAATTCTTCCACTGCTCAGTGGACTCCTAGAAGACATTTAGAGGTATATTAAAACTAAAGAACAGCACAGAACACTGAGACCCAGGACTGGTAGCTGCAAAGAAACTTTATGGGACCGTGGGAAACTAGGCCACACCCATGATAAGTGAACATCTAGGCCACACCCATAATAAGTGAACATCTGGCTAATTAAAATCATGCTGGACCACAGATATTAGCAAACCAGAGAGTGCTGGATTAGGGAGGTTCAGCCTGCATTGCTAGGTTTTACTGATGCTTTTTGTTTAAACTGCAAAATAAGAAATTTATAAATACATCCTGGACTTGTCCCAACTGATAAAATATAGAGGTAGCCTGATTTGTAAAGAAACATAAGGAAACTTTGGACTCTTTAAAATCTTTTCTCCCCCTTTTAACTGCTGTATCCACATCTGTATTAACTGTTTAATTAGGCTGGGAGTTTTCACTGGAACCTATCGGTGTTATGTGCCCAACTCCTGTTAATGTTCAGTGGACGTGAGGTGTCTAAACTCATCTAGGCACCTTCATATATTATGTTGAGAATATCAATATTAAATGTTGGTGGGCCTGGTTCTGGTTCAGGTTCATTTAGACCAAAGGCATCTTAATCCAGATGTGCTGACTGATTTCAGCAAAGGTACCTTCAATGAAGGTGCTTCTATGTGAATCAGAATTGGGCCCTATATTATGTCAAAATCCCAACTGCATGTATAAAATGATGAAGGCCACTCAAGCAAAAGAGTTGCCAGTCATTGTGGATAGTTCTCTGAAAACATCCACCCAGTGTGCAGTGGCAGTAGAAATAGTAAAGAGAATGTTAGGGATCATTAAGAAAGGGATAGAGAATAAGACCAAGAATATCTTATTCCTCTGTATAAATCCATGGTGCTCCCACATCTTGAACAGTGCATACAAATGTGGTTGCTTCATCTAAAAAAAGAGATATTGGCATTGGAAAAAGTTCAGAAAAGGGCAAAAATGATTAGTGGTATGGAGCAGCTACCATACGGAGAGAGGTTAACAAGACTGGGGCTTTTCAGCTTGGAAAAGAGACAACCAAGGGGGTATATGATAGAGGTCTATAAAATCATGACTGGTGTAGAAAAAAAGCGAATAAGGAAGAGTTAGTCACTCCTTTCCATAACAGAAGAACCAGGGGTCACCAAGTGATATTAATAGGTTTAAAACCAACAAAAGGAAGTACTCCTTCATGCAACTCACAACCTGTGGAACTCCTTACCAGAGGATGTTGTGAAGTCCAAGGCTGTAACAGGGTTCAAAAAAGAGCTAGATAAATTCATGGACGTTAGGTCCATCCATGGCTACTAGCCAGGATGGGTAGGGATGGTGTCCCTAGCCTCTTGTCAGAGCTGAGAATGGGTGACAGGGATGGATCACTTGATGATTCCTTGGTTCAGTTCATTTCTTTTGGGGCACCTAGTGTTGGCCAGGATACTGGGCTAGATGGGCCTTTTGTTTGACCCAATATGGTTGTTTTCCTGTTCTTAAACTAAAAACAAACTACCTGACTTTCCAATGACCAGCCAGGCCAAATCTTTAGCTTCACTTTATCACTCTAAAATGGAGTCTGTTGTTATTGACTGGTGCTACTTTCCGATAATGGAGTTCGAGGATCTGAGATCCAGCATAGGGCATGCTCCCTTTGGTGCATTGTATGAAAGAGTCCATGGCATAGGACTGGCTCCTGCAGACCTGGCCCTCTGGAGCTTTGATTCCTTTGCTCTGAATTGCAGGTCACCTTGTAGCCCTTGCGAGCAACGATGGCACGGTGAAGACCTTGAACGTCAGCTCGGGGCAGCTTTCCAGCCTGGCAGGCCATGAGGGCGAGGTGCAGAGCGTGGTCTTTGATCACAGGGCAGAGCACTTGCTGTCGGGGGGCTCGGATGGGACCGTCCGGCTGTGGTGCTGAGCCCCTGGAGGTGGCTGGATGGAAGAGGAGGAGCCAGGCTGCAGGGAGCCAGCAGCAATCAGCTGGCTCAGCGCCTTCACTGCTGCGTGCGCGGGGAGCGCGTTTGTAGCTGGGCCCAATAAAACCCCGCGTGTCTGTGTATGTTGTTCTGTGTGTGTCTTTCAGGGCCCCGGGACCCTCCTGTGGGGGCTGCGGGAGCAGTAGCTTCCCAAGGACGCCTAATGCCAGCCCAGACGAATTGCAAAGAGCCTGGTTTGTTCCGTGCCACAGCCAGCTCCCGGCTTCCCCACCCCCAGCCTCGCCTGGGAGCTGCCTTGAAGTTTGACTAACGCAGCGACGTGGGGCATTCCCAACCCCCTCCCCCCAGTCTCCGGCTGGGCAGGAGCGCACAAGAGCTGGCGACAGGCGCCTGATCTCTGCCTCCTCCTGCAGCCGGGCCAGGGCGCTTCAGCCTTAGCACCGGCGCTGCCTGGGACTCAGCCCCGCCGTGGGCTGCCCC